TTTTTTAATTGTTTCAAAATATTTTTATATTTTATTAAATGAGTTTGGTATTTTATTTATATTTTTAAATACATCGAAATTGAAATTTCAGCCATACTAAATGGGCATTTTTATTTGTTGGGTTCAGGGTAGTATCTAGTCGAGCACTCTCGACTAGAGTTTTCTTACTTGTTAATTTTTTTTTCGAGTGTGTTAGCCTGATGTCAGAGTGGCCGCGATAAGCGATTTTTTTTATATATTTGCGTTGGGGACTCCTGTGATAAGTAAATCAATTGTGAATGTACACAAATTTAGTATGGTGAAAATGTATTATTCTGATTTTTATAATGAAACAGCCAAATGTAATTTGTGGATTAAAGTAATGAAAACAAGTAAGATCGTTTTAGTCGGGCGTTACCGAGTGCGGAATTCTGATTCACATCCCATCAGCAATTTAGTAGTTAAGTTTCGCTCTAATACTGTAGAAAATGCAGTTTTTCCCGATTTGCCACGCCCCCTACTGGTCCCAGACACCTCATTTTTGGTCAGTTCTTAAAACGAGATAACGGTACAGTAACTGCAAAGTTTGAATGCTAACCCTTAAAAAATGTGAGAATTAGAGGTCGATATGCCACGTCCCTAAAGGGGCTTAACCTCCGATAGAGGAGGATACTGGTAACTTAACTATCTAAATTTGAAGCTTCTGCATTTTCTATAGTATTAGAGCTAATCTTAGCTACTCAATTGCTGATGGGGTGGGAATGAGTATTCCACAGTCGGTACCGCCCGAATGCAACGTTCTTACTTGTTGTTTTTTTTTTTGGGACGGATTAAAAATATTGATTTATCGATATTTTGAAAGTTGCATATCAAATATCACATCGATATTTCATCAATAGAATATTTTAAAAATATTCGACAGGCCTAGTTAGTATAGTCCCGAAAAGATTTTAGATTTGAAAATGGATATAGTATATGGTGCTTCACATTTGACATGCTCAACTGACACTCCTCTGTCTCTGGTAGTATCACCTAGTTTTCCTATCTGTCACTATTTTACTTAGTATTTTTGTCTCCACACCATTCTTACCATCCAAGCTATTTCCACAGACAACGCAAGTAAAACATTGTGGATGATAGGGTTTGCCCGTGGCTCTTAAAATTCTCTCCAAAATTGGCTTTAAGCAAACTGAACACTTCTCAAGTGTTTGCAAATAGTCGTATTCGCAAAATGGTTGTCCTTCTAGTGCATAAAATGGTTTGCCCTGTAGGTTAAGTTGACATTCGGTGCATGTGAAACATGAAATGTGATATATTTGATCCATGGCAGTGCATCCACTACTTTCGCCGAGCACACGTTCATTACACTTGAAGCAACGACCTATATGGGTAACAAATGAAAAGAATTAGGAAGATACATATAGACTGATTATCAAAGGTTTTTAGACATATACCGACCGTAGCTCTCAACTTCGTTAGCCGAATCAATTGTTGACAAATGATATTGACCCAGGTGCTCATCATTTTCATTTATTTTTGAAAATCCAATGTTAGCCTCTACTTTAGCTTCATCGTTGCAGTATATGGGAGTATTTGTTCCACTTGCACTTTGTTCCAACCCCAGTTTATTCCAATTGCTGGTTGACATAATGCGCTGATTTACATATGTAGTATATGCATTACGATTCGCAGTACGCGACGATATGTCGACAGCTGGACGTGGGTTTATGGGTTCATATATCGAATCATATGTTGAAGAACTCTGCGAGAGCATAAGAAAGTCATTTCCCATTAGTGCTTTCAAATAGCAGGTATCCAAAATTCGGATTATAACATAGAAATGAATTTGTCAAAGTTCCTAATATTTGGAATATGTCTCTTACAAATTTGGAGATTCTAGCTTTAATGGTTTAACAGATATATATGTTACTGGTTTTCGATCATGTTTTTAATCGATAACAAAATAACGGCACAAGTTATCGATTTTTGAAGAAAACTCGATATGCGCTTGGTATACACGGACCTAGGAAAACAAATGTTTAAGTCTCTAGCCCTTATATCTTCTGAGATCGACGCTTTCAAGCATACGGACGGACGGCTCGTCAGCTCGTCGTCCTGATTAAAAATATATATACTTTATGGGCTCTGCCACGCTTCCTTCTGCCTGTTACATACTTTTAACAAAACCATTATACCCTGATTTCCCATTTTCAATGGGTTCAGGGTATAATTATATCTATAATTATATATACTGTATAATCCCGATAGTTCGAAATGGCAAGTTTTTTCATTTTTTTTATTCCATTTCTTTCAAGCGGATCGCATTTTCTTTGATTTTTCGCGACTTTCGATTTCGTTGGATACGAATTATCCGTATATATATGAAGCATATTTAAACGATCATATATAATAAATTGTATTTATCTATAACATGTATATATTCTGTATGGAATGGTGATTCCATGTATGTATTCATATACCCTTTATATATTTTATTTTAATATAATACATTCCAACCTGGGATAATGCACCATAGCCAAAATAGTCGCCACACGTCTTATTTTGATAGTTCTGAAATGGAATTATTTACTTTATTTCTTGATAAGCTGTGATATGAGAGCATTTACGTTTTGAGTAGCATATGGATTGGCAAGGTTTACCCTGGACATGGATGTTGCCATTGGTTCATTTGGATTTTTCCCATGTGAGTCGCCCGCTTTGTCAAAGACGTCACTAGCTCTTCGCAGCTCACTATAAGATGAGCTAACTGGACTAGGAGGCGGCGGTAAGTCTTCTTCTAATTCCTTATCTAAAAATGGGTTGTCCAAATAGAAAGCATTCAATTCGGAGATATATTATCAGCAATAAATAGATATGTAAAAAGTAGGTACTCGATTTTTAAATTATCTTCAACACAGCTACCGATATCTGTTACAAGCGGTGGCCCCATATGGAGCCGAGGAGCATCTCCCTTGATTGCACTGGGCTTTCTGGGATGCAGATCGTAATACAACTTACCATTTGGTGTAAATGTATTTTGGACATTGGAAGAAGAATCATTTGGTTGCATGAATACAGATTTCGACTCGTTAGTTAGACGCTCCGAAGAGTGTTGTAGATTGCTATAAATAGATGCACTCTGCCTGGAAAAGTGTCCACTTAGAGATGTGGAGGATAGTTTCGGAATGATTTCGGTATGTTCAGCAATTTGTAGACTCTGCGCACCCAATAGCCCCTTTTTCTCCATTTGTTGTTTGTGGTATGCTAAAGCTTCTAATTGCTGTTCCAATATAGCTGGGTTATCCAGTGTTGTTCGGCTATTGCCAATTTTATCAACACTTTTACTAGCATAAATGGGCTGCTTGAGTAGGAGGTTCGATCCACTAAGTAGTGGCTGTGAAAAAAGTGGTTCTCGGGCATCCGTAACTAGTTTGCTAAGGGGCACCTGTAAAATGGTGCAGTGATATTTCCTTTTTGCACTATGAACTTTGTAATTATTTTTCACCTGAGGCATATCAACTGTCTTTTTGAATGGCTTCGGTGGTATGGTTGGTGCCGTCCTCGACTTACTGAAAGCGGAGGCATTTTGAGCAGCACCAGCTTTCTGTTGTAAATTGTTAACTAAAGCTGCGACTTTTCCGGTTTTCATATGTGCATCATCGCACCTTCTATTCAATATCGTTAATTGCTTTAGCTGTTCCTCTAAAGAATTCATAGTACTGTTTCCTTGTTCGACTAAATGCACAATAGCAAACAATTTCTCATCATACACTGTCAATTCATATGTGACAGCATTAATAAAAAAAATGTATAAATGCACAACAAAGTTAGAGATGGGAGAACATTAAGAGAATAATCGTTACACGAGTTTTAAGACAGTAGTCACTAACCAGAGAACACATAGACTAGACATGTAGAACAAACTTTTTCAACACCGAAAATATGCGCTGAGGAGACTACACAATCAGCCTTTTTCCCGTCAAATCTGGCTTTTTTGAAAAGCCGATTGCGGGAAAAATTTTAAAACAGCGGGCAGCGGCAATTCTGGATTTTTAAAGAATAATTTTCTTTATTTCCGCTTTTTTATTTATTGAAGAAACTTTCGTATTTTGTATGGATAATTCGTATGAAGAATGAAGTTTTCTTCATTGTAGTCAAATTAAAACCAAATACTTCAGTAATTCAATTTTCAATAAACGAACCAAGCGGTAATAATATGATAGCGTGTAGTACAAGAATTTATGTGTTTAAGGTTGCCGACAACAATAGTAAAAAATGTTGATTCCTTCTCATGCATAAAAATTTTTCGAGATCATTGATAGTATTGAACCCCAATATAAGAACATCCACCCAATTCAGTAGGAAACTACTCAAGACGCGACAAAGTTTTGAGTTGAGAAGCGTGTTCTAAGGGTTTGATAGGATATAAGAAATTTAGGAATTTGGCCACTTTTTCATTGCTTCCTTTGCCAATTCCCAAGTGGGTAACATATTTCGTCAGATCAATACTGTGATGCTTAACTCAATTTCAAGCATCAGGTAAAACATATATATTATAAAACTTCACAGATACGGCTTGCGGTGGTTGAAGAAATGATGCCATGATTATAAGTAGTTAAAAATATATTTAAATATCAATCAAATCAAAGCAAAAAACATCAATTTTTTCCGATTTTTTCACAAAATTTCGGTTTTTTTAAAAGTATCTTCCCACTAAAAACAGCTTTTTTTGCTCAACAAAAAT